ATAGCAGAAAATACAGAATTACTTTTCATAATGGGCCAACATGCTTCCGATTCAAAGTGTCGAAACAACAAAAAAAATCTATTTTTAAAAGACACTTCTCTTATTTTTCTGACACTTGTTTAACTTATCCCATAGAGTCGCGTGGGTACCAAGTGTCAGACACCGCGACACACCTACTCTTCATAAGTTAAGATAAAGAAGGGTGATAATTGGTGAGGAAGAAATTAAAATCTTACTCTGAGAGAAGCTGTGAAGTGATATAGGGCGCTGCAGAACTGCATCCATTTAGATAACTTTCTTGTTCTGTTTCTGTCCACCAACCGGTACAGTTTCTGCTTTCTTATCTTTTAAAATTGTTCTAAAGGTCTTGTTGTTGGTAGATAAATATAGAAATATTGGTGAAATGAAAAGAAAAGGGGAGGGAGAGAAGTTACAAAAATGTGGGGTTATAATCTAGTTTTTTTTTTGTGATAAAAAAATCTATTTTTTATTAAGAAAAATAAATCCAAAATAGTTATTAGATTAAACTGAATAATTTTTTTTTTATATTTTTACTATATTTTGAAAAATTGATTAAATGTGAAAAATTATTTTATTTTATTTGTTAAAAGAGAGTGCATATAATCAACATGGATAAAATTTAAGAAATTTCTTTCCACCCTTAGAGTGCTCCTCCATCCCATTGCCATGTATCTCTAGGCACACTTATTTTGTCAAAGTTTAGGGTGACTAGATGTGTATTCGGGCACATATAAATTACACTCACCCAATACATAAATTACTTATATTTTATTTAAATTTAATTTAAAAATATCTCCAAAAACATTTAAATTACACTTATCTAGAACATAAATCATCTATGTTTTGTTTAAATTAATTCGATTATACATCTTCATAATATTTCAGAGATATACTTTTGTAGGCCGTTGAGAATAGACACTATTCTGGGAGAGCAAGACCTTTATAATGGAGGTAACAGTCTTGTAAAAAAAAAAATTATAAAATACAACAATAGGACATTAACTAAATTTTCAATACATAGGCATTAGAAATGATTATTTGCTTATGTTGAGTAAAAAATAAAATCAATAATGTATATGTTGACCATCATCTATAAGAGAAAAGGAGGCCTAACATTCTTATTACATGTTTATATCTTACTGATGGAATTGCATTTTTGGAATATGCTGGAGATGTATATAGAGATTAAATTTGAGTAAAATGGGGTGACTCACTCACGAATTGCTGAATTGTATATATTTTAAGTGCGTTCAGAGATGCATCTTTGAAATATGAAATGACAAATTTGGATTTTCAGTTTACTCACTCTCACCTTATGGAGTAGAAAAAGTAACCCTCAAAATTTATTTGGTATAAAAAGAGGACCTAAGTTCAAAAGACAATAAAAGTTAGAGAATGGCTAATCTCACTGTTGTACCCCAAAATTTACCCTCACTTTTCTCAAGAAATTTCACAAAGGACCTCTAATGCTCAAGGATTCTCAAGGAATTGATCAGACAAAATCACCTCTGAAAGATTAAGACCACAAACTAGGGTTTTGACTAAGAACGAATGATTATTGACTTTTGACCTAATACATAACCTAATGGCTTGAAGTATAATTTCAAAGACTCAAATATAACATGTTGACCCAATTTCATGGCTTAAATCATTTCTCAAGATTAGTGGATTGATAGTTGAAACTTGGTCAACTGATGAAAAGTCAACTGATACACCAAAAGTCAATCTTTGACTTTTCGGTCAAAATTTGATTTCAAAGATCACAGTTCATTAAGACATTCAAAATACAAAGCTTGATCATCAAGAAATCAAGAAAGTCAAAAGTCAATGTGAAAAGTCAAACTTTTCAAGACTTAGAAATTTTTCTAAGTGTTTTTTATACATGATAATTTCATTACTTCATGCCATTCTTTCACCAAGATGCAAGATGATTCAAATAAAACTTTCAACATGAAAGTTGTAGTTCTTGATGATATCTACAACTTTGCTTTGTTGATAAAGTCCTAGAAGTGCTTGGATTTTGAGTTATAAATTCATGAAGTCATGGCATTTTTGTATAAACACTTAGAGAAATTTTCAGCAGGTTTAGTTAGGTTTTTATCCCAACTTCTTGGCTGATTTTCATCAAGTTCCAATTGGATTCTTCAAAAATAGAAAACATGAAGGTTGTAGAGGATGTTACAAGCTTTCTAAAATATCCAAGAACTCATTGAGATCATACTTGAGCTAAGAGAATCAAAGGCAAGAAGTTAGGGTTTCAAACTTGATTTGCAAGACAAATTTTGTGATGAACAAGAACCAAATCCATAGCCATGCTGCATAATCTTCACTTTGCAGACCTCAAACTTGTATATCACTCCTTAATTAAATGCTTACACAACTGATTAAACTATGATCCAAGTGTTTGAGCCTTTGTCTAATTGATCATTCCATTTTTGGGAGAAAGTGACATATCCATTCTTGAAAAGTTCACTTTAATCATAAAGTCAATTTGTTGAGCCTCTAACTTGTAGTTCTGATCACAATCAACTTCTACAAGTCAGAACAAACATGTTTAAAGTGATCAACCACTTTAGATAGTTGGGTACAAACATTGGAAACATGTCTTTCATGCTCGCTTAAAAAACAAGCAAGATAGTCATAACACGTGATTTCAAAAATCTGAGTTGTTTCAAGTCTCAAACCTTCTCTATAAATAGAGAGGCCATTTTACAAGATAAAAAGAGAAGTTTTGTTGTGTAGACAAGCCCTCAAAATCTCATACTCTCAAAAAGCCATAATTGTCCACAAAGCCTTCACTCTTGAGTTTTGAAGTCAAAAACTTTGAACCTCTCACACCTTGCAAAGTTCTGTCTAAACAAACCATCCAAACACTCCACATACATCTTATAGGAGTTGTTCAAACACAAGAACAACTTTTGTAACATCACTATTACCATTCCCTAAACTCAAAAACAGCCAACGCAGCAGTTCAAACTCAAAATACAAATTTCAGCTTCAAGGTAAGTTTTCTGACTTTGAACTTTTCATTTCAAACATCATTAGTAATCTATTGTTGAAGGTAGATGCAGTAACTATTACCTTTTAAAGTTAACAATTTCCTTGATTTTCATTCTTGTCAATATTGTGTTGAGAACTAACCTATACACACAATAAAATAATGTTTAAGGCAAAAAACTTCAGCATGAGTCGACACATACTCACATGAGTCGACACATTTTAGTTACAGAACCAGGCATGAGTCGACACAACACATTATGAGTCGATACATACTGCTATCCAGACCCAAAAACAGAAAGACCAAAGGTGTATGAGTTGACACAAAACACGAATGTGTCTACACAAACAAGAAATGAGTCGACACATATCCTTATGTATCAACTCATACTGAGTTGATTTTGGTTTTACAGGAACAAGAAAAGTTATGGGTTCATGGGTTCGAATCTCTTATGCGGCACTTTCAACATTTTCTTTTTTCTATATTTTGTCACTAATTTTCTTTCCTTTCCGGAAATCAAACTTTGGGCTTTCTTTTAGGCTTTTGGATAACTTAGTCTCTAAGTTTTTGTTAACCTAATTCACTCTATAAATAACAATATTGTTGTCCTAAGATGGTCATCGACAGACCAACAATTTTCATCTACAATCATTCACGAATTTCACACACACTTTCTTTTCAAATCTCAATATTATTGGTGTTTGTTTTACTATTTTTGGCTGATGATTTCATATGAGGCCCCCGTTTATTTTCAATTCCATCCGTTTTAATTTTAATTTGTCTTTACCATATGATGTTTAGCCGATGGTTCATTTTTTACACTAACAATTATATATTTTTTTTCTACTCACTAAGGCACATTAGAATAGAAAATTATTGTTCATTGTTTTTGTGTTACTAATTATTACTTTTGTGCAACTTGCTATCCATCTGTGTTTTATTTTGTTGAAAGATTATACAAATTTTTCGTGATAACCACCATTTGTAATTTGCTTCGTTTATTCAAAACAAAAATCAGTGTTTTAACATATAAAATAGAACGTTTTCGCATACATTTGTCAAGCATATTTCTACTACCTTTCTTTACCAATTCTCACTACCATGCTTATATCTCTTCCAAACTGTGACTTTCAATGACCATAATTTTCAAAGTCTCTTAAGCGTACAATCTCAAGAATGTTACATAAGACATGCACTGATATTCATTTTGACAGGCAAAGAACATAAAAGTTCACAGCAACAACAAGGAAAATCTCCAAAAGATTGGACTCAAATCTGTAAGTAACATGTCACTAACACTAACAACATCAAAGTAGTTTGTATTTGTTTTACAGTAATGAAGAATAAGATATAAAAGAGACAAAGGAATCGTCTCTCTCATAATGTGGGTGTTTGTTTTGTTTTTATTTTATATTTATTATTATCCCACATGCCACGTGTCGCGGTCTGATGGGCTAGGGAAAGTTGGAAAAGTAAAACAAAATTAAAAGGGAGACTGCGAACGACAGTAATGAATAGGGGTGGGCACCGGTTCGGGCCGGTTCGGGTTCGGGCCCAAACCCCCAATCCGAAGTTATCCACGGGTGGTATATTACGACCCAAATCCGACCCAATTATGATTCGGATTAGTCGGGTTCGGGTTGCATCGATTTCGGGTATCTATAGGATTAATTTCGGGTACCATTTTTAATGGGCTTATTGAAATATTAAGCCCAAATTCAGAATTTAGTAGTTTTACCCCCTTTTTTTTGTACAGTTTTCAAAATTTTCATTTAACTACTTAAAATTTCCAAAAAAAAAAATGACATACTCTATAATATAAATTCATAGTTAAAAAACATTACAAATTAACATAGTATCAAATTCAAATACATTACAAACTCCAATTCAAATACATTAAAAATTCCAATTTAAATAGATTACAAATTCCAATTTAAATAGGTATCAAATACATTACAAATTCAATTAAATTTAGCAAAGCCTACATAGTAACACAACCAACATATAAACTCCAATTCTTTGAGATTAATCCATTCCATAAAATAACCGGGAAGCTTCTTGCACTCCTGCACTCCTGCACTCGAGAGAGCATTTCATCAGCCTCATCCAACACAAACATCTTGATGTAATCCGGGTGAAGAGATTGTCTGCGCAGCATATCAAACACACGACCGGGAGTACCAACCACAACATGGACACCACTTGACAGAATGCGTTGATCTTCACGAACACTTGTACCTCCCACACAAGCATGCACCTTAACACCTAGATAGTCTCCAAGTGCCCGCATAACCTTCTCAATCTGCTGAGCAAGCTCGCGTGTTGGGGCTAAAACCAAGGCCTGGCACTGAGTCACATTGTAGTCAAGTTGCTGCAGAACACCAGAGCAGAAAGTTGCCGTCTTTCCAGTTCCAGACTGAGCCTGTTGAATAACATCATGTCCCTTGCAGAAAGGAACAATTCCCCTTTGCTGAATGGCAGATGGCTTTTCAAAACCTAAAGCAGAAGTCATACTAGTTAAAAAATTCCAATCCACCAAACACAGTAGCAATGACAACAGAATGACAGTAGTAGCAAAGACAATAGTATTAACACAGGATGATTTGATAAAAACAATAAAATGGTGTGGAATAGCAGCTAAAGCAGTAGTATATCAGTGCATAATTTGAACAAATCGCTATAACTATGTGGCGGTGTTTAGTACAGAGAGCGGTTAAATATCGGCTGTTGTATAACATTGTAGCATGACAGATTTGGGCAAACGGCTATTTTCAGTGATCCCATATTGACAACATGTGTAGTGCTAGGCTGCCGCTAAACATTTTGAATTATTAACAGTTCCAAGGTAGAAGAATAAATCCCAACCAACAGGAACAGTAGGGATTAATAATATTACTGGCAATAAAAACAGAACAAAAAAATATAGTAAAAAGAACATTAAGTTTACCGTAAGCATAAATGCCCCTGAGGAGATTCTCTTGCAAGCCCATACCATCAAAACTTTCACAAACCTCGTCAGAAATAGTGTAGAACTCATTTGCATCACCAGCCATCCTGGAAGAAAAAATTATAGAAAAACAAAACATACACTTATTAGTACATTGAGATGAAATCAAACCCAATTTAAGCATCCCATTCTCCACGTATATTCTAAGAGAGTGCAATCTCAGCAATAACAAACCCGTAATGCTCACACTAAAACTAACTAACTAACAAGTATTCAAAAAAAAAACTGAAGGTTCTTACAAGTCATTCATTCTAGTCATTCATTCGCATTTCACAATCAACAATAAAATAACACATTCACAAGTCACACTTCGCATTTCAGAACAGCATTCACAAGTCACAACTTCAAAAAGCAAAATCAAAACATTCAAAAATTAAACGCTACCTGATCTTTATCATCGTGACAGTCTGATGCTACTGTTGAACAAGGCAAGAACTATAATTGGACTGCAGCAAGAGAACCATCTTTCTCCCTTGTACCCAACACAGCTCTCAAATCATATACCTCTCAAACCTTTTAGACTTATGTTACCTTAAATTACATGTATAGGTATATTGCCTAGCTGTATAAATGGATGCAGCATACAATAGGTTGCTTTTGTGATTTGCAGTGCTACAAAAATTATGCAGGAAAATAAGCCTAATGCCAGAATGTTTTTCATAATTGCAAAACTGCACATCTTTGGAATTAACAGGTCTACAGATATTTACATGGAAATAGTGCGGAAAACCAAGTTCCAATTTCATCTTCATAATCTTCGGGCTCAGGATATCATCTCATATGACAAGGAAGCAAATACTTTATATTTTAAGATTCTCACCTAAAGTTAGGGATGCTTAACAACTTTGGAGGTATTGATCCAGAAAACTGGTTGTTCTCTACATTCCTGTTCAAATAAGATAGAATAAGCACGTATTAAGAGAGAGAATCACTATTAAATAAAAACTTCAAAATTGTATCAAATCCTAATATTCATTCAAGTTCCAAAAAGCTCTAAAATCCATTAGTAGAATAGTAACAAATTGATAAACTAACACTTTTAAAAATCATTTGGAATTGCTAAACAATTTTAATAGAACAAATTGATTGCAGATCGCAGAAAATTACAGTTTGTTCAAGTTTTGTTATGTCGGCAATACTTTGAATTCGATAGTGTGTCACAAAACAATAGTGATTTGTTCAACTAGTGCTACATTACAGATAGCACTGCTATAGAATCACTAGTTTTCCATAGATTTACAAGTCAATACCTGCTTAACCAAAGTTCTGGAGCATAACATATAGTTCTTTTAATTTCACTCAGGCACTTCGCAAAAGGTTTAACATCATCATGGCCGTCAGTAGCACATACTAGCAATATAAGCTCTGTACCTGTGAAACAAATACTAGCAATATAAAAAGGGTAAAATTGATCATCACCTTTGCAGCTGAATGAGACTTTGAAGCGAAAATAAGAGAAAAATACAGGGTGAGAAAGCGAAAATACCAGCTGTATCCCAGAGGCCTAAATTGACAGTTATGCCTTCAAAAACGCCGGAAGACGCGGTCTTAATGCAAGAATCAAAACTGTTCAGCATGTATACACATATTAAACAAAAAAATCAGCAAGTAATTAAACTTACTATCGATATTTAGTTCTTGGACAACGCTCTCAAAAGTATCTTGGATCAAAAGTCGTTGGTTGTGTTGTGGCTTCAAAATAATGAGTCATAAGACTCCAAAAAATTCAGCAATACTGCAAATACAACTAGAAACATTAGAAAACATACAATTTTACAACTACTGCAAATTTAGCTTCTGAATATTCAGGAAGTCTTTAACCTGAAGTTGTTTCAAGCACAGCCAGAAGGCTGTGACTGAGTCTGAGCAGACGAAATTTCAGCAAATCCTATTACACATATTAAAAGGCATTGACATTGAGGTGAGCAGCAGGGAATGAAAGTAATATTTCAGCAACATATTACAAAATAAATTAAACAACCACACTTAAGATAAAAATAATACCTTGTAAAGCATCTTCCGAAATCTCATACTCCTCATTGAATTCCAAGTCTTTGAATTGGTAAAAGGAAGGCCTCAACCAGTTCTGAGCACAAATTAATGCCTCCGCCATTTCTGGTTTGAGAGAGCTTCTATATACCTCTAAAACCCTTCCACCCGTGCTAAAAGCACTCTCAGAAGCTACGGTTGACACTGGCGTTGGCATGATATCCCTAACTATTTGGGACAGAACTGGGTATTTCCCGACATGATGTTTCCACCAACCAAGAATGTCAAAAGTGTCTTTATCCTTTTCATTAAAACTTATGCACTTTCCTTTTATATAGTTTTGAAGTTCAGTTTCTTCTTCAACTGCATCCAAAGACATCAAATGTTGTTGAAACGCATTTGCCCTAGCTACGGATGTGGGTAATTCATCGCTGGCTGCTGTTTCACCATGAGAAACAGCCGCTGCAACAGATGGAATTAAGCCTCCAGCAGTGTCGTATTGTTGTTTATAAAGGTTGAACATGGTTAAAAGATTGTCATTTATATCTTTTAATAGTGATTTACTAGTTTCCGAATTTTTTCCATACATATCATCAAAACACCATTCCACAAATCTCAACTTATATCGGGGATCAAAGATAACACCAAAATAAAGGAGTTGGTTCATCTTTGTGATATCAACCCAATATTTACTATACTTTTCCAGCATATCCCTAGCCACCTCAGCAAACAATCCATTAAGGTCCATATTTAACCTCTTAAGTTCAATGTAAATTGAAGCAAGGTATGGAAAAGCAGTATGCAAACTTGCTTTTGTGGAAACAGAAAAAATCTTTGTGGCTTCATAATAGTTCTTCAAAAACTTAATAAAAACCCTAACATTATCCCAATCTTGACTACTAGGGGGGGAGTCAACCTCAAAGAAATCCCTATAGGCTTCATCCGCATCTTCTAGCTTCTCAAAAGCACTTTGAAACTTCTCCGCGGAATCTAACATCAAATATGTCGAGTTCCATCTAGTTGAAACATCAAGACATACTGATTTCTTGCATAAAATCCCAGCATACTCCACACATTCTTTGAACTTTAAAGCCCTATGGGGTGAAGATCTAACAAACCTAATTGCATTTCTCACACTTGAAATTGAGGTGTTGGCAACTTGTAATCCATCTCTCACAATCAAATTCAGCACATGTGCACAACACCTCATGTGAAAACCAAATCCATCCATTAAGAGGCCATTCATGTTTCTTACTTTTTGTTCTAAATATTTAACAGCAACATCATTTGAGGTGGCATTATCTACCGTGATGGTAGAAACATTTCTTAGCCCCCACTCCTTTAAAACATCTTCAACCTTCTTACCAACAGTTTTTCCCCGATGGTTTGGGATACTCGTAAAGCTGATTATCCTCTTTTGGTATTGCCATTCTCTATCAATAAAATGGGCCGTGAGGGTCAAATAGTTCAGATTTTGGACAGATGTCCAACAATCGGTTGTAATTGCCACCCTACTACAATCAGAATTAAAGAACGCCCTCAACCTCACTTTCTCATCAAGATATAACTGAAAGCAGTCTCTAGCTATAGTTCGCCTAGACGGTATAGAAAATTGGGGCTGCATCTGCCTACAAAAGTACTTAAACCCCTCTCCTTCCACTGTACTAAATGGTTTTTCATCCAAAATGATAAAATAAGCCAACCCACTTCGACAAGCTACAGGATTAAACCTAGAACTTAATATTTCCTCAGTTGTTGAATATGACAAGATTGTTTGGGTAGTGTCTGTGGACAAGTTCAACGGATACTTGGGACATGTTTTCATGTGACTCTTTAAGTTTGATGTTCCATGTTTCTTAGAGTCACACATATACTTTTGATGGCAGTACTTACAAGCAGCTGTTGGTGGGTCACTATTAGGAATAAGGTTAAAATGATCCCAAACCTCGGATCTCTTTCTATTACCATTTGCATTGCGTCTTCTTTTCCTTGGGTTAGTTGGTGGAAGTTCGGGTATTGTTGTAGTTTGATGATTAGGTTGGGAATGTTCATTGGCATTTGGTGTGTGTTGCCTAGATGCTGAAACAATTTGTTGGTGTTTAGGTTTTAAAAAACTATGCCAAAATTATACTAAAAAAACATCAAAGTAAGCCTAAAATTACCGGTATTTTGCATATCTCTAACTCCACCAGTTCCATGCTCATCTCCCTCTCCTTGCACATGTCCAACTCCATGCCCATGTCCAACTCCTTGCATTTCTTTACCTCTTTGCATTTAAAACAATATATTCAAAGTTATTAGAGCTAATCAAATTTAAACTGAACTCTTTTAAAGTTATTAGAACAAAATAAAACAAAACTAACACATACTTTCTTCAATTCTCTGAAGAGATTTCTCAGTAACACTGTAATGAAAACAACAACAGTGATTAAAATATTGAAAACAACAAAAACTGAACATTGTATTTGAACTATTGAAACGAAAATAAATAAATAAATACTGAGTTTATATGAACCTTAATAGCTCCAACACCAAAACTGAACTCAGAAAAAAGCTTTCTCCTATGTGACGAAAATGACGAGTTTAGAATAAATACCGAGTTTCTAATCCATTGGAAAAAAGAACAAATCAAAATAAAAAATAAAAATCTGAACACAAACCTCTTTGAAAACAAAGAAACGACACGGCGGCGCAGTGGTAGAGCTCGTTGTTCAGTGGAAGAGATTTCGTTGAGGACGACACGGCGGCGCAGTGGATGGTTTACGTTAGGGGTTTTGCTTGGGGTGACGGCGCCGGTGGTAACATTGTTACTGTCTTTTAGGGTTTTTCTTTTAGAACTGAGAAGAAGAAGAAAATTACATGAAAAGAGGAAAATTGATGGAATGGGGCATATGTTTAAGAACACATCAAATTGGACCGGTCGGATTCGAGTACCGACGGGCCCAACTAATTGAACCGAAACCGACTTGATTTATCCATGCTTACCCGATTATCTCACCCGATCAACCCGTGCATCCGAAATAACCCGATCCGCAGCTGCTATATACATTCGGTTCGGGCGGGTATTTTCGGGTGGTTCTCTTCTGTCCACCCCTAGTAATGAAGATGATGAGAGAAGTGCCTCCCCAATTGGTACTAATAATCCTTCTTTCAATATTTTGTTTTTTGGTTATAGTTTAAAACTAGTGTTTTTTGGTTAATGGGCTTTTGGGCCTATCTTTCTATAAGTCTGGTTTTCTCACCTTTCTTTTTAGCATTACACCCTTTAGTTTCTAGTCAAATAATTATTTTATTTAAGTCAAGTTATTTAGTCTGTTCTGATTCAATTAATTAGATTTAATTATTAAAAAGAATATCAAATAAAGATAAAACAAAAAAATAATCTTTTAATTTATCTAATTAATATACCAAGAATTAAAAATATATAGGTTTTTTTAATTAGGCTAATTAGATCATTAATATCACACATAATTCAAATATTTTTCTTAGTCAAATTGATTTAAACAGTTTATTAATTAATTCAAACATCCTATAAATAATAGGATGTCCATCTTCGAGTAATTAAATCGGTTGACACATCGTCTATCAGTTTATTATTCAAAATAAAATAACTAAAATCCACGCAACTCACACAATTCACCACCTGCGAACGACACATGGTCAATATTTGGCCACGTGTTGAGGAGACTATATCAGACTCCCCCGCTTTATGTCTTACCATATCCGATCAATCAAAAATTATTAAAACAACTAACCAACATTCAAAAACCATTTTCAACTAACATGATAAAATCAAGATTATTTTCAAAAAAATTAAATAGCATTGTCTTCGAATCAAACTACGAACTGCGTCTACGATCACCCAACTTACAACCCAGACAATGTTCAAGGTTAATTCGAAAGCAAATCTACACAATCCATAAAAAACACAAACCAATACCGCGAACTATGAAATGAGACTCGGATTCCTCCTTGTGAAAAGGGTAGATGATGGGGTGCCTAATCTAACGCCCGTAATTTAATTAATTATTTAATTAAATTATTTTTGGAATATTTGTGATGTTGTGTTGTTATGTTAGATATTATGTTGTGATTAGTTAGATTTAATTATTTTATTAAGTTGTGGAATAATATGAGAATGATAACATTATTTGATGTGGGCTTGTTTTAAAGGATAGAAGTAGTAATAAGGGGGTGTAGTAGTTTTAAGCCCATTAAGAAATAAAGAGAATAATAGGGTTATTTTATTATTGTTAGAAATAATAAGGATAAAAGAAGAAGAAGTAAGAGAGGGAGAATAAGGGTTGGAAGAAGGCAACGTGAAAATTGTTGGAAAGGAGGAAAATATGCAGAACAGAAAATCAACCGGAAAAGTATAGAGCAACCTTCAATTCAAGGTAAGGGTGGGGTTTTGACTCTATAATAGAGTTTATGATGATTGGTTTATGGGATTAGATGTGAAAATATTGTCTTTTTCATGATTTGAATGCATATGTTGTTGTATGATGAGAATCGATGATTGATAGAGGAATAATGATGCCCTAATGCTGTATATTTGATGTAGAATTATAAGATAATTATAATTGAT